TTTCCTAGTTTCTGAACTTGTTGTTTTAATGATGATATGTGTGGGTAGTTCTATTTTGATCTGGTCTGTTTGGTGTCCTGGAGGCCTCTTGCATCTGTATGGGAATAGATTTCTCTAGATTTGGGAAATTTTCTGTTATTATTTTGTTGAATATATTACTCATTCCCTTTGCTTGCACCTCTTCTCCTTCTTCCATGCCCATGATTCCAAGTTTGGTCTTTTGATGGAGTTAAGTGAGTTCTTGCATTTTCTTTTCACAGGTCTTGAGTTGTTTAACTAAGAGTTCTTCAGTTTTTCCTTTAATTACCATTTCATCTTCAAGTTCTGAAATTCTGTCTTCTGTTTGTTCTATTCTGCTGGATTGGCCTTCTTTTTGTTTTGCAGTTCTGTTTCTTCTTTTTTCTGAGGTTTTCCATATCCTGGTGTTTCTCTTTAATTTGTCTATTTTTGTCCTGAGTTCATTAATCTCTTTATTAATCGTTTTCTTTGTTTCACTTTGGTGTTTATACAGTGCTTCTATGGTTTCCTTTATTTCTTCTTTTGCTTTTTCGAATTCTCTATTTTTGTTGCCTTGGAATTTCTTGAGTGTCTCCTGTACATTTTGGCTGACCATATCCAGTGTCATCTCTATAAAATTCTCATTGAGTTCTTGTAGTGTTTCTTCTTTTAGATTGTCTTGTGGGCTTCATTGGGTTCTTTGGCATAGTTTATCTTCATTTTGTTGGAGTCTGGGTCTGAGTATCTGTTTTCTTTGTTTCCCTCTGGTTCCTGTATTTTTTGCTGTGGGGAAACTGGTTTCCATGTTTTTTCTGTCTTCCCATCATTGCCCTTGGTGTTGTTGTCCCTGTACTGTGTGCAATTAAGTATTTTCTGGCTTGTAATAATAACACTAGTGATATTTAGAATGGAAGGGTGAGAGGAGATGGAAAGCAAAGAAGTTAAAGGAATAACAAACAAATAAACAAGTAGAAAAAAACAAAACAAAGAAACAAACAAAAAAAGTTTCAAAGATATAAATAGGGAGAGACATTGTACTAATCAACCGTAAGCTTGTGATCCACGTCTTCCCAAGCTGTCTGGGCGCCAGCGTCTGGCGGCGGCCCGGGGGCCCTCCTGGTTTCTCTGTTTAACGTGCAGTGGAGATGCTCTGCACAGGCTGGAGGTGTGGAGGGGTCAAAGTTTTGCCTCTTCTCAGTGGTTTTGCCTGTAAGTTGAATCTCCAGCATCTCTCCAAGATTTTACTTTAGGAGGCACGCTTTCTGCTTCCTCCCTCTAGCCGCTGTCTTGGAATCTCCCAGCACCATTTATTGAAGTGCTTTTTTCTTCCTTGAGTTATTTTGTTCACCTTGTAGAAATCAATTGACCAGGTTAATTTCTGAATTCTCAATTATCTGTATGGTACCGGGAGCAACAGTCCTGATTTCTACAGCTTTGCAGTAGGGTTTGTTCTTCTTTTTCAAGAACTGCTTGGCTATTCTGAGTGACTTAAATTTTTTTTGGTGTTTTAGGGTCAATGTTTTATTTGTACAAAAAAGGCAGCTGGAATTTTCATAGGGGTTATATTAAATCTGTAGATAATTTGGAAGATTATTGCTGTTTTAACAAATTTAAGTCTTCGATTCCATGAACACAGATTGCCTTTGTTTTTTGGTTTTTGTTTGAAGCAGTAGGTAAAAAGTAAAGTTTTCTGCTCAGGAGTGGGGTGTGTGTAATCCCAGCACTGATGTGGCAGAGGCAGGAAGATCACAAGTTCCAGGCCAGCCTGGGCTATGTAGTGAGACTCTCTCTCAAAAACAATTCCACTGAGTACCACTTATGTAGGACCTGCTCATCTCTGACATGCCATCTGGTATTAGAAAAGCCATCACATCAAGAAGTCTTTTGGTGAGTTATTTGGGTTAGGAGTGGACCAATCAGAAGTCTTCTTTTGTATTTTTTTTCCTACAAAAAAGGAGAGTTGGTCTCTTATTAATACCTGAAGTTTTAAGCTATAAACCTTGCATGGTGCTAGTTGGCTGTGTTTGCAGACATATGAAGATAGCCAGTCTGCACAGAAAAGCACAGGTGAGAGAGGGAGGGGGCCCTGATGACCTTGGAGTCTACAAACCTCTTTGCCTAGGCTTGTTTAAATTTGATATTTCTCAAAAGAATCTCAAAAGATTCCCAAAAGAATCCCAACTCATAGAAAGAGCTTATCACATCATCTGGAAGTAGGGAGGTGCAATAACAGGTAAACATCTGGAGCCAGTTTGAGTGTAATGGTCACTGGGAAGTTGTTTTAACTGGTTATTGCTGGTAAATAAGAAAACTAGCCTAATATTTTGCATCCAGCCATCCTGTTTCTTTTTTTTTTTTTTTAATTTGGTGGGACTGGGGTTAGAACTCAGGGCTTCACGCTTGCCAAGCAGGTGTGCTACCACTTGAGCCACACCTCCAGTCCAACCCTACTCTCTTTAATAGCTTTCAAAACTAGATTAACAATCAGATTATCAGAAAGCAGTGACATTTCATCTTTTCCCTTCTGCACGTGCGCGCGTGCGTGTGTGTGTGTGTGTGTGTGTGTGTGTGTGTGTGTGGTATGGTGTGGTGTGTGTTCCTTTTCTTGGCCTACCTGGTTGCCTGGAACTTCTAGCACATGTTATATAAAAACAATGATATTCAGTGTGCTTATCCTGTCTTTGGCTTTATAAAAAGATTCTAATGTCTTCATCATGGGTATAATTGTTATAGTTCTTCTGTGTAAAATACTTTTAATTACATGAAAGGAATTTTTCCTTCCCATCTCAATTTAATTTGAATTTTAAAAAATTTGAGCTGGGGGGGCTGTGACTCACACCTATAATCCTAGCTACTTGGGAGGCCAAGATCAGCAGGCTCACAGTTTGAGGCCAGTCTGGGAAAATAGTTCTCAAGATTCCATCTCCAAAATAACTAGAGCAAAATGGACTAGAGGTGTGGCTCAAGTGGTAGAATGCCTGCTTTGCAAGCATAAAGCCCTGAGTTCAAACCCCAGTCTCTCTCTCACACACACACACACACACACACACACACACACACAAACTGAAATGGATATCACATTTTTTCAAATAATTTTCAATATCTATCAAATTCATATTTCTTTTCTCCTTAATGCATAGATGCCAATTATATTACATTGTCAGATTGAATCATCTTTGCACTGCAGTAATTTCCACTTGGTTTGTGTAGGGTTGCTGAATTGTAATCATGAGGGATTTGATAATCCAAGCAGTCTTTGTTTTACAAGGTACCATGTTAATTGGAATTTATGTGGATCGGAGCCAGTTATGTTTTCTGGTACTAATGTACCTGCATTTTCTTTAACACTGTAATGTGCAAAGTGAAAATTGCCTGTATTTTACTTAGGGATGTTTACATTTGTATTCGCATAGTTTGTTTTTTGGTTTAATGTAGATTTGGATTAGGAAAAAAATGAAGAAGCTTTCTGTCTTTTTTCTATGCCCTGAAACTACTTAAATGCAAACAGGACTTGGGGGAGTAGCTAGTGGTAGAGCAATTATCTAGCATGTGGGAGGCCCTGGTTCAATCCCCAGCACTGCAATGAAAGGAAGAAAATACAAGCGAAAAGCTGCACTGACTGTAGAAAGCCGTCTTTCTAGGAGCAAGTTACATCCTTGACTGTCGTTTCACTCTCTTCTTCCATTTGCAGCTATTCAGATCTCTTACCTATTATCAAATCAAATTTGGTAATTTGCATATTTGCTAAAAAATTATCCAGATTAAGTAGATTTTCAAATTAATATGCACAAAGTATGTGATATTCTTTCATATTCCTTACTGTCTTCATTTTCAGTAGTCTTTCTGAGCCCTGGTATTGCTTAAATGTGTGTGTGATTCCTTTCCTCTGCAAGAAGCCCATCAACTTTGTAGCTCTTTTCAAAGATTACACATTTTATTTTCTTTACCTGTCCCAATTTTACTCTTTTCTGCTTCATCGACTTTTGTTTTTATGGGTTCACTCTACTATTTTTAAATTTGGTTTACTTTTTCTAGTTTTGGGGGGTGGTGAATAATTAGTTTGCTTATTGAGAATAAAATTTTTAACAACTTCATTCTAGTTTATGTTATTAGAGTATATTTAACAATATCTCACAGTTTCTAATGTTTTGGTTAACTTTTAAGCTGTAATTCACCTTTTATTTTCTTTTTGACACGACAACTATAGGAAGAATGAATTCTAAGTGTACAACTGCTACAATAAATATTTTTATTGGGGTTTTCTTTTTGTGTAAAGAACGTGAACTCCAGCCTGACCTGACCAAGCAAGGGCTGCTTTGCTCCGTACAGCTCCATCTTGAACACAAAGTTTTCTCACTCTTCCCACCACGCTCTGTCTGTCAGTAGTCATTAAGTTTTTCATATCAAATATTGGTGTTGGTACTGAACTCCTCTGGATTATTTTTGGCCTGTGCATAGTAACAGCAGGACCAGTGTGTGCAGATAGCAAGGAGATAGCAGGAGTGATTCAGAGTTTTAAGTGTAGTTTGGGAATCCTTCAGAGAGGACTAAATTTTACTAAGGAGAAGAAAGGAAATGATTTGTAAGCACAGAGAAGGACCTTCAAGAGAGAAATAATGAAAGTTACACAAGGCCAATAACAATAATAATAAGTTATATACATGTATGCATTTGCAGACACACATGGGCATATGTGGGGGTGTGTTCAGTGCAATTTACAAACCCTTTCCTGATCCACTGCTATTTGGAGCATTGCTGCAGTCCTTGGCGAAAGCAGCCATTATTATGGCCTGTTTTGCAGATTGAAGCACTGAGGTTGAAAGAGATTAGGGAGCCCAGATGGCCTGAAGTGCACTGTTCTTTCTACTGCACCATGCTAAAGGTTCTCTCCTCTAGAGGCCCACACACGGCCTCCCTGCAGTTGAGCGGGCTGAGTAGAGGAAGGAGGGGTCTGACTGTCGGGTGTCCTCAGATGTGTAACCTCGGTGTTTGTCTCCTTTGAGATCCCCGCAGTGAAGTTGAACGAGCTGCTGGAGAACTTTTATGTCACCGTCAAGAAGAGTGACGGCTCGGATTTCCTGGCCACCTCGCTGCACGCCATCCGCCGCGGCCTGGACCGCGTCCTGAAGAACGCAGGCGTGGGCTTCTCCATCACCAGCAGCACCTTCACCTCGTCCACCAAGAAGCTCAAGGAGAAGCTGTGGGTGCTGAGCAAGGCCGGGATGTCGGGCGCCCGCTCCCGCAACATCGTCTACTTCTCCCTCTCCGACGAGGAGGAGATGTGGCAGGCAGGCTGTCTGGGGGATGCCAGCCCTGTCACCCTGCTGTCCACCGTGGTCAAGTACAACAGCCAGTACCTGAACATGCGGACGCTGCAGGAGCACGCAGACCTGATGTACGGGGACATCGAGCTGCTCAAAGACCCCCAAAACCAGCCCTACTTCGCGCGGACAGACAGCGTCAAGAGGGAGAGTCGGAGCAGCTCCACCAGAGTGTGTCAGGGGAAGATCTACCACGAGCACTCCAGGGGACACAAGCAGTGTCCTTACTGCCTCCTCTACAAGTACATGTACATCCACCGGCCTCCCACCCAAATGGAGGCCAAGTCCCCCTTCTACCTTACGGCCAGGAAGGAGGCCACAGACATGGGCAGCGTGTGGTACGAGGAGCAGAGGATGGGCCTGCGGTCTCTTCGGGGGATTGTCCCCAACTTAGCCAAGAAAGTCAAGCTGGACAACTGTGAAAACTTCACCTTCGTCTCCTTTACTCAGGTCTCCAGGAGGCTCGGCTCCCACAGCTGCTGCCAGTGAGTCCTCTGTGTAGGCCACTGTCCCGCTCGCCCTCCTCAGTGGGCGCTCCCTGGGGTGGCCAAGGCCAGGGTCGGGGGGCAAGTCAAAGTTCTGAGGAGGCACGACTAACATGGTGCCACTCTGTGCTCCAGCTGGTCTCCATCTCTGCTGCCTGGCATTCCTCTGACTTGGAATTTTTTTTCATGAAAGTAGATGATTCTGAATAATTTGGATACTTTGTCTAAATGTGTTTCACCTTTGTTAAATCCTAGAATCTAACACAATGTAAAATTGCAGTACACAGAGTGAGGAGATTCATTTTATCTAGTGCCTTTTTAGCACAGGTTTTCTAAAAAAAAAAAGAAAAAGAAGACTGTTTATTAGTCATTTGAGAAAGAAAAATCCCAGCAGCCCGGTAGCATTAGAAAGTTCTGAGGACCCTACACTTCGTTGACTCACACTCACACTGAGGACCCAGAGAGACCGGGGGCAGACGCGTTAGAGAAAAATGGCACTCGCCACTCCTTCATGCTCTGTTGGTGGATGACGGGGTCCTGCAGGGACCATCCGGAGCCTCTGCCAGGGAGGCGGCTGCAGTGGAGACGGTTTTATAAAAAGAAGATGATTGCTCCAAAGGGTGTTTGTGACAATGAGGTTCCCAGTGAACTGGATGGTTGTGCCAAGAGGGAATTTCCAGTAGTGAAAAAAAAGGGCTTAGAAAAGCCACCTGTGACCCAAATGTGAAAACCCCTGAAGCAGAAGTGCCTCGTCTGTCTTAGTTCTCGGCACCACATGACAGCACTTTTCTTCTGCATGTTTTTTTAGTGTTTTTTTTTTCTCAATTCATTCTTCACATCACACAGTTCTGTTGGCAGAAGTACGGGATGTGTAAAGCAGCTAACAGTAATGTTCAGGAAACTCCAACAAAGCAAGTTACAAAGAAAACAAATCTCCAAATGCATTTGTTAAAGAGCACTGAAATATTTTTATCAAAGTCTGACTTTTGCAGCGAGAGTAGATCGTTATTTTAGGTTAGCACCATTGCTTGGGACACTGACTGAGGCAACCCAGCAGGTAAGGACCGAGTCGTAAAACCAGCGCTACGGGAGAGGTTCTTCGTGCAGTTTGAAGTCATTTCACTCAGGTAAAACCCAACCTGACCACGTGCTATTTAAACATCAGCAGAATTCTCCGATAACTACTCCAAAAGCAACAATAAGTGAAAAGGGAGCCCAAAGAGTGCTAGTTAACGGTACTTTCTCGTGTCTTCGTTTTACATCCGAGGAAAGACTGTCCTTTGTGAGCTTTCTAACCCCAAATTAAAATTCCAATGCAAAGTTGTTTTGTAGGAGCCCTAAAGTCAGTCCTATTTCTTATTCAGAGCATTATTTTAGTATTTATTTTAATTAATTGCTTTTAAACTCATTCACTGGTCATTGAAATACGCGACACTTTACCAGAGAAGACTCAACCAATGCTGCCTTATGGTCTACTGTTGTTCCCTTTCGAGTTACTACACATTTATAGTTTTGCTTACTAGTTTCTCTTTCCTGAGTAGAGGTTAGTTTTGGTATCTCTCAATCTGTATGTAAATAACATATAATAATGATCAGTGTTACGACTTGATATCGCATACCATTCTGTCGTGGTTTCTTGTAGCGATTTTAAGGGTTTGATTAAGAAAAAGTGACACAAAACATTTGGTACCACTTCCTTTAGTTTGCTGACCACCCAAAGGATATTTTGTTTGTGGGAATTAAATGGTCACTTTCTTGTACGTTCTCCACTTAAAATGAAACGTGACCCAGGTGACCTATTGGCAGAGGCTGCAGCCTACTTAAATAAAATCTCTGTTTCTGTTCTAACGAGATGCAAGAAGGCATTGCCATTAGGAATCACTGGGATCTTTCCAGATTTTAATATTTCCAAAAGTAGCAATAACTGATGCAGAAGTTGTCGTCTTTCTGTTGGTTGAGGCTTTTCATCAGCTCAGTAACCAATTCTGCCTCAAATTTGTTATCTGTTATTTAGATGTATTCTAAATCCCTAGAAGTCAGAAGTGAATTGTACTAAAAATCGGGCAGGCAAGCCTCCAGTTACACTGCCTGCAGGAACCAAGGAACTGTTGCTGAGGTCCTGAAAGCAGCTGTCACTGCCTCCTGAAGGACACGAGTGAGGAAGAAAACTTTTTCATCAAGTGCTGTCATGTGTCATCCATTGTGCTAGGTACTTTCCCTACTGTAAATACGTGTATGTGCACACACAGACACACACACACACACACACTTTCTAAGTGAACATCAGGTAAAGCCTGGTAAGCCTGCTAACATGGTGCAGTGCTGTCTATGTGCATGCCATACCTGTCCTCAGAGACTTTGGTTTTTGAAACAGGTTCTTGCAGTGTAGCCCAGCTGACCTCAAATCAGAATCCTCCTGCCTCAGGCTCCTGAGAACCATGATTATAGCATGTACTACCACACGCAGCTTCAGAGGAAATGCAAAAGAGCTCATTCTAGATGGAGTTCTGATGAGGCTGTGGTTTGTCTTTGTAGTTAGCTCTATGTCATCCCCTCTGGAGACCATGATTTTCTGCATTTGGCCTAAGCAAGAGAAAGGAGAATCCTGAGGGAAGGAAGAGGGGGAGGATCGGAGCACTTTCTCCACTCTCCTTTTGGTTTTTGTGTTCCACAGTTGGAACGAATACCAAGAATTCACAAGTTTGGGTTGGGGACATAGCTCAGTAATAGAGTGCTTTGCGTGGCATGGGCACAGCCCTGGGTTCAATCCCTAGTACTGAAAAAAAAAAAATTCCCAGGTTCACCTAGATAACAGTTGCCTCTGGGTCCTGCATGAGGAGTCAGGGTGCTGTATGTGTTCTCCCCTGGGAAACCCACCCAGCAGCACTGTACCTGTCCTGAAAGGAGCTACAGGTAGCACCTCCTCAGAATCCAGCCAGCCTCCCTGCTGGGAGTACACAGTTGGACAGAACTAGTAGGGTGTCAGCTTGATGGCGTGATCCAGCTAAATACGAAGGGAGTGACACAGGACCAGGTACACCGTAAGCAGGCAGTACATGTTGGCTTTGTTACTTAAAACTTTGGATAATACTGTTACTCATCTAATCTGCATCATACCACTTATTTCTTCCATTGTGGACATTATTTCTCCCTAAACTATTAAACTTGAAGAAGAAACCAAAACCAATAATCTGGTCAAGTTAACACATTCATGCCCAAGAATTCTACCTCCAGCTCACTCAAACCCTGATACCTCACACATGAACAAAAACAAGCAACGGAAGAACAGAGGCCTCAGGGGCTGTATGGTCAGTTTTTCCATTGGCTTGTGTGTTTGAAAAAAAAAAACCCAACAGAATATTATGGAAGAACCTAACCAAAGCTGTGGGGGGAAAAAAAAGGTTTCCTTTGTCACACGGCATTTTCTAGCTTTCCTTGGATTTTATCCTGCATTACTCTGCCCTGACCAATAAATGGTATTTGAAGAAATGTGAAATTATGTTACTTTGATTTTTATTTTAATTCAGTCTTATTAAAAGCATCAAGCACCACCATCTTGCTCATGGGCACAGAGAATGAACAAAGTAACATTTGTGTAAAAACTGAAGCCTCTTGCTATAGTTGAAAGATATGTAGGCCTCCTGCACTACTCACCTGGGCAAATTCCGGTGTCGCTGTCCTCGGCCCTAAAGCGAGGTCAGTGGAATGGACTATCTCCAAGGTGAACAGTGGCTGAGGAATCAAAGTTTCAGCTAGGAAGTGTGAAGACTAGGATGCAGAATTCCTAATTCCCAAAGGTCAGATAGTCAATCTTCTCATTTAGTGTTCTCGTTATACTGGGATGCCCTCTTTAGATGTTAGATTTTTCTTGAATTTTCAAGTTCTAAAATTTCCGAAATTATTTTGCTATCTCTAGACAGGGGAATGTTGACTATTTTTCTTGGTTTTGGCCAACAGTGGCCACATCATTACTACTTAAATAAATAGGATATTTAAGTATCCTTACCAAACATTCATCACTTTGCTGCTTTTATGAGATATGGATTGCTAAAAAATGTTGAGCTAGTAACCTTTAGGCATCAACGAATACAGACAATGATGCCTTCAAAACAGTTGCCTCATTTTCTGTGGATGAGCCTCAGTTAAGGCCACACATATTTAGAATCTGTGGACAGCTCTGTAGAGAATATGTTGAGCTGTCGGAATGACTCAAGCAGTAAAGCACCTGCCTAGCAAGCTTGAGGTCCTGAATTCAAACCCCAGTACTGTCAAAAAAGAGAGACTATGTTGAAAGTTTCAAATTCATGTGTCTTTAAATGAGTTCACTTTGAGGGTAAATATTTAACTGTGTGTATTAAAAGAAAAACATTCAGTTTTTCATTTCAGTTCAGGCAGTGTTATTAGGTGAAGATTTCTTGTATTTTCCCATATGAATGAATCAGTTTAATTAAAGCATAAGGTGAGTTGGTAGGAACCTACAGCTGCACTCCCTTTCTGAAGATGGGGATAAACCAACATCTCTGGAAGCTCCTGCCTCTGACCTCACAGGGTTTCCCAGCCCTCCTCTGAGGAAGGTTGCCCACAGTTATTATGGCTTTGAGCACTTGTGTTTCTTCATAGTCAAGGATTCCAGTCCCCCATGTGTAGTTATTGATCAGAATCAGATTATTACTTTCAATTAAAATGCTTTATTATTTATCTAATGCAGCTTATGTTGAAATTAACCATTCAGGAAATACTTAAGACCAAAAAATCATTGGATAATGGGTAGATGCCTAGTAATTCCTCTGCCATGCACATCATTAAGTAGATCCTCTTACACCACTTAGCTTCTAAATACTTTACGGTTAATATAACTGATTAATTTGCATTTTACTCTAACATTACTGATTTGTTCAAAGAAAAGGTTCTAGAAGGTTCAGATCTGACTAAGGGTATGAAAGGGCTTTCTCTGACCTCACAGGGTTTCATACTCTCGTTTAATTTGCATAACGGTTCTGTAAAGTGCATCTAATTGTTCCCACCTTACGTAGAAACCAGTGCTCGGATAAGTTAATTTAACTTCCCAAAGTCCAACAGAGCTAGTAAGTTAGAGAGCTGCTGATTCTAAATCCAGTGCAGTACCTCAGAAAAAAATGGCTTCCTTCAAGCCCAAAAAGGTCTGTTTAACTTTTAAACAATGTAAAAGTTTCTATTTATTTGAGAAATAGCCTGTTTCTCAAGCCATATCTCATTCCACTTATACATACTCTTTACTAATTTGTTACTCACTTGATACCATTC